CTGAATTGATTCAGCTTTTGGTCACATTTATGCTTCTTTGTAGGTTGTGTATTGTTTTTGGTCGGGAAAAGATGTAAAGCACTCCCACATGTGTAATGGAGTGAATATTTCACTTGTGGTTTTTTTAGGGATTTAGAATACTCAGTGTGTTTTAGTTTGATGTTAATCGTTTGAAGATTGAGGACATGAGATTAGATTATTTGTCTTTGAGTGGTGTTTAATGAGAGATGATCATGAGTGATGTTTTGGTGACTGGTATTATCTTATATTACTTTGTATCTGCAGCATTTATTATCACAATACAATTTTAACCTGTTTTAAAATGAGTCTTATTTTGGGCATGTTTATAATGTGCTCTTCTTTTGAGTTTATGATTCTTCTATTAAAAACTGGAACTTGTGAAAACCTTTATTTGCATCTAAAAACTTGAAATTCGAATTAAAATATCATTTTTAAACGTATCCATCAACTATTTCTTCAATGGATGATGAATGTGTTTAAATGTATGACACACTTTAAGTGAAGCTATAATTGTTTGACGATTGGTTCTTACATAATGCATCGATGAGAACTTTCAAGTGTATTCCTGTTGTGATGGTTCATATCTGATAAAATCTGCATGTATTCAAAATAAACATCAGAGAAAAATCCTGAGTTCAACATTGTGTAATCTATCAAACCATGTGCATCTATATATATAATATGTATATATATACACTGTATATATCACCTGTGGTACAAATCTAATTGCAGTTCAAAGTCCTTTACAAAGGAGCGGAAAAATGACTGACAAAAGGTAGTTTGTAAAATATAACAGCAATAAGAAATGAAATCAGCACGATGATTAATAAATATAAATACTAAAAACCTAAAATCAAACACTAAAATGTAAATTTAAAAGTAGAGATGAATAATATTGATTAAATATAGTAAATAAAAGCCTTAAAATGATTAAGTCATATAGAAAAGCCAGACTGAATAAATGAGTTTTTAAATTGTTTTTAAAAATCTCAATATTCTCTGATACTCTGAAGTCTGTTCCAAAGTCTCAGAGCAGCAAAACGCAGAATCACAAAAGGTTTTTGTTCTGAAAAGTTAATCTGGTGGGAGGCAAGTGCTTTAGACAATAATAAAATCAATATGAAGACAAAGAGCAGCCAGTGTCAAGACTTTCAAAGATAGATAAAATAGTTTAATGGGAGTTGTGTGTGTAATTGGCAAAGTCATTAACATTCATTCATTCAATCAAATTCATTTAATCTGTTCTTTAGATGTATGTTTACTGCCCTCACATGCTTCACAGGTTGAGTTAATGTCGACATTGCCTATTTAAACACATCATGTTAAGTTTATTTGTCGGACACAGTAATCATCAACTTACATCATTTGCTCATTTGCATCAACAGAAACAGTGTGTGGAGTTTGGATCACATGCTTTCTATCTGATTAAGCAGAGTTCAGTTGAGAAAAAAAATAGGGTAATTAATGAATAAAAACAAATAAAATGAAAAAAATGTAGCATCATTTATGGAGGTTCACATTGGTAACTCCTCATGCACAGAAAAAAATAGATGGCTAAATCTAGATCCAATGTGTTACACTGACCTGCTAAAGAGAACAACGGAAACCTTGATGTGAGTGGAAAATGGACTTTTCACCTTACTTCATTCTTATTTTGTTGATATATTATGCATTATTTCAATACAACACATGTATTAATGATAGTTTAAAAAACAATTTTAAAAACTTACTTGAAATTATTTTGATTGGATTGACAATATTTATCAAGATCTGTAATATTTCCTATTTGTCATCAGCTAAAATCATTCACAACATCTACAAAGAGGATCAACTTTTGAAACAGCATCAGATCCTGTGTACAAACATGTGAACTCAGAGTTTGCGTTCCTTTGTCCTTACGTTAGGTTCATTTGCTTTATGTTGATTTGTGGGGTTTTTTACGACTGATTTGTGATTTTGTGAATATGGCAAAATAAGTAGCATAAAAAAGTACCAGATATTACAGTTTTAGTACATCATTGACTTTTTACAAAACAATAGTTATACTAACATGAGCTGACATTTCTGCCTAAAAAATTAGTCAGACAACTGCAGCTGATCAGAAAGCTGCTGCTAGAGTCCTCACCAAAACCAAGATTACCAGAAAAACCAAGAAAATACATTAGTGACCTCCTGATTAATTATGAACCATCCAGACCGCTCAGGTCGTCTAGGACAGGTCTGCTCTCTGTCCCCAGAGTCAGAACCAAACATGGAGAAGCAGCATTCAGTTTCTATGCTCCTTATATCGGGAACAAATTCCCAGAAAACTGCAGGTCTGCTGAAAGTCTCACCTCTTTTAAATCCAGGTTGAAGACACACCTGTTTACAGCTGCCTTTCATTAAACAATTTTAATAAGATTCTAAACTTTTTGTATTTTTACTTTATTTATTTGAATAAATTTTATTTGAATTATTTTGATTTGAACATATGTTCAGATTTAATAATTCCAGTGATTATATATTTTTTAATGTTATATTTTAATGTTTCTTTTCTTTCCTCTGTCATGATGCTTTTGATGTCTTGTGTGAAGCACTTTGAATTGCCTTGTTGTTGAAATGTGCTATATAAATAAACTTGTCTTGCCTTACATTTGTCATTTAAGTTTGATCTGTGTTGCTGCACGGAGAATCAGTTTGACTTTGACATCCTTCTTTCAGTTTAAAAGAAAACTTAAGACCTGGAAGAAATAACATGATAAAAATGGATATTTATAAGCCCTATAAAGATACCTGACCTGGGAATAAAGTCATATCGTCCTGATGAAATTAAGAAAACCAACTCTTTATGGAAGTAAGATAACAAAGTGAGATATGTTAACATAGATATTATCTTCAAACAACTTTCTATGTCTGCAACCAGAAGTAATCTCACAAGAAAAATTAGGCGATGACTCCTGGCATTGATAGACACACATCTGTAATGTGCTCATTCTGGATGTTACTGGAGGTCAATATATACATATTATAGTCTCATCTTTTCAGGGCACACTTTACCATAGAGAGTTCAGCAACATCGCCATCTTGTGGCCATTTGATATATTTGCAGTTCTCAAATAGAGTACCGGTACACCATAAATCTGTCTAAAGAGCAGGTGCAACATTCACGCTACCTCTGAATTTTTCTTCAGAAGTAACTTCTAATACTGATTTATTTCTAACATCCTGTCATTTCTTCACTTCTTTATACGTTTAGATTTGTTAATTTGACTTAAGAATATCTGATGCACTTTCAGTTTTATTTTCTGAAATGTTTAGTATATCAATAAAAGAGGATCATGAGGGTAAAGACCAATAACATGGGTGTGGTGGAGATATAAATGTCAGATGTTTTAAAACCCTGAGCGTCATAAAAAAAAAGCCTTAAGCAGCTATGGCTATATAAATGACATTTACCACTTGTCAGATCAGCATCAGAAACATTAGCTTGATGTAAATGCAACGTCTTACGGCTTCAAAACATTAAAAACTATATAGATAGATTTTTTAAAGTTACAGGGAGCTGAGGAAACGTGTTAGTACAAAAAGAAGGACTTGGACGATTGGAGGAAATTTTGGAGGTTGGTTTTCTAGTTATAGTCGATTAAATTCATGGTTGGCTTTTGGTAAGTTGTATCGTTATTTTAAACTGATGGTTTAATTTAACAATTTTGCCTTTTAGCTTGTGTAAAACTGAGGTTAGCCTACTTAATAAATGACTGACTTCTTTATCTAGTCGGGCAAAATGGCAAGTCCGAGCAAAAAGCAAAAAAGTGAGTACCTGTCTTTGTTAAACAGTTTACAATATCCAATATTATAGAGCAATAATTTTAAGTTGGAAGTTTCAGCACGAGTTCATTCTGTGAATGCTTTTTTTTTTTATTCTACAGACCGATCATCACCAAGGTAAAACATATCACACACCTTACCACACATCACACTTTTTTATGCGGCTGGAGAGATAAGAGAGAATAAACAGAACAAACAATGACGACTTGTAGAATAAACCGCACACAAACACACCTCCACAAAGTTAAGCCTGTGTACATATATTATCCATTATCAGTCTAAATTAAAAATCTAATTAACTGGGAGGTTTGTTCTCTAGATGCTTATTATCCCACCAGTGGTGAGGACAGCTAGCTTTGTGCACCTTTACTATCCAAACCAACCCTCTTTGTTCTCCTTTCCTTTAATCCTAAAAAAAGGAAGAGGAACACAGACTGTAGGCTATTGAAATAGGACATTTTCAGTGTCCAATGATTTGTTCTCTTTGTTCTACTAGATGCTTAATCTCTCCACCAGTGGTAAAGCCATTGAAGCCATTATTTTTGCAGCATCAGCTTTATTCTAGGGCTCATTTGGCCTCATGCTCATGCTATGGCTACTTCTCATGTCTCCTAAATTGCATCCACGTTTCCTTCTCTTGCTTCCCTCACTTGCATGGAGAGACGCGAGGAAACGAAGCAGAGGAGAGAGGAACTAGGAAATATGTTTAAGAGACGTCCTTCCTAGAGCGTCACGTGAAGCAACATCCGTTTGTGATAAAGACATCAGCTGATCCCGGGTCGGCTTTAACAGCTGTTTATGTCCGCACAGATAACAGTAACAGTGTTATCTGAGTAGCCTCCTTTACCTGATATACACCTGCACATGAAGAACAACCTGCAGCCTGCTTCTAAAACACGTAGGCATACAGACAATTTCTACAGGCAAAAGTCTTTATTATTAAATTATTTATGAATTATTTGATTTAAATCATAATCTAAACTAAACTCTGTATTTTATAAACACTAAGGGTGTCTCAGGATTATTGAGAATTTTTACAAGGATCAAAATGTAAGAAAAACAGGATGCATAACCTTTTCAAAACCTACGATCATTAGCCTCATGAAAATGATGAATGCAAAACGTGTTGGTGACTGACAGACAGTCATTCTCATCATGATCAATTTAAAAAGGGCAAACAGTGTGAGTGACCCTGAAAAGAAATATGAGCTGTTCTAATCTAATGGAGACATTTATGATCCTTTCGGTTTTAACTCTTAAAATTAACAGATTTTTTGTTTGATGGTGAATCACAAAACAAATCAAATAGGCTAAAAGTCGGGTTTGACACTCTTATATTAATTTTACGGACTTATAGCCTACTTAATATTTCGTTGTTTATTTCATGTCAAACACTTTTTTTGTCCCCAGTTTATCACAGACGGACTCTTTACAAACTGACAGATGTTTACAGTTTGTTTCAATGTCCGATGTGTCCGTTTAGACTCTTTTTAATGTCATCTTTTCTCCGCTGTGAAACTCCGCTGATGTTGATAAGTTTCACTGAAGTCCGATCCGCTGCAGCATCCAATCACTGAGTGATATACGAGACGGAGGCGGGTCTGTCAGTTAAAAGACTTCCTGGAAAGATGCTCTTGTGTTTCCTCGATCATAGCTCCTCATAGTTATTATTTTTCTCAACATGTTTAACTCAGTTCATCATTAAGTCCTTTTGGAGCCGATGTTTGCAAAGTGTGAATCCAGTACGCCTCACGCTGATAAGAAGTTTATCATTTGATGAATGGTAGCTCGGACCGTGTTTTTATTTATTTATTTATTATCTTTACAGGGCAGCGCACAATTAAATGTAATTGCATCATTAGCTAATAGCTAAATTGCATCTGTTGTACCAGTGCATGTGCATTAAGTGATCCTTATTTTCCCCCCCTCTTTAATTAACAAACAGGGAAAGGTGTTTGAAAATGGTGGAGAGCTCACTATCTGACTTAAAGATGTGCCAATGTTTTTTATAAACAGTTTGGATTGTGCTCGAGTGGTTAGAGTGTTGCATGGTGCACCTCACAGAGAACTTCTTTCCCTTTTTGACGCGTTTTTTCACTAAATCCGAGTTGTTTTTTTGAGGGCTAATTCATATGCATCTTTTATCTACAAAGATGGGTATCTCCTCTGAGAGAACCAGTTTTTCATGTCCGTTTCTTTAAAATCCTCTGTAGTGACAGATCCTCATTCAAATAATGTGTCTTCCGGTACAGTGTAGTGAGAAAAGAGCCAATGGCCTCATTCACTAATATATGCGTAGAATGTTCTTACTCTGCCCATAAAATAAGTGCAGAATCAAAATTCGACAACGCTTGCCCGCAACCTGCAATCAGCACACTACAAGGCCCCCATCTCCCCACATAAGGGCCCTTTCCGAATAGCCACAGTTCAGTATGCAGTGTGTACTTTTCAGTAAGGAGTTTCAGTATACTGAACATTTCAGCATGGATACTAACTTCCGGGTTTTATGCAGTATGGATCGGATGCATCCTTTCAGGAAATGAATTGTATTTTACCACCCACAATGCTGTGCGAAATTAAACGTAAATCGTCACTTCACGTGCGCATACAAATCAAAACAAACGAGCATGGATTAATTGAGTACATTTTTAATCTAGAGTTAAAGTCCCGTCTGAAATCGTTACTTTTAATTAACAACAGAAAATATAACAAATGTCTGCATTATTATAAAACCTTTCCCCCTAAATTTAAATAATGATTTCACTATTTAAATACGTCTTTATTGGTTTATTTTACTTTATATTCTGTATATTACTGTCTTTCATTTGTACTTTCCTTTATGTATTGTATGTTATTTAGTTATTTAATCTGTCTTTTACTTGATTTACATTGCGATATTGTTTTTTGTTTACCTGACTGTATATGCGCATTACTCCTCTTGAATAAAGCTAAACAAAAAAAACAAAAACGGGTGGATGCGGACGGTTCGGGTAACATATACTGAATGAATCAGACAAAGTGCTCCTACTGAATAGTAGGTACTAAACAGTATACAGCACGGATAGTAGGTACTGTCTACTGCCTACTGAAAGATTGAGTAGGTACTTGGCAATTCGGATGCACCCAAGGACATTCGATTGGTGTATCAGGACAAGAGCGATGAGGTGGAGACATGTACAAGTTGCAAGAGATGGCCCCGAAATTCAAAAAATAGCTGTGTGTTTGGGGGCTTAGATGCCGTTACAGGGAATTACATAGTTGCAGCAATTAATCAGCTGATAAGTCCATTCGATCTGCAGAGTCCCTCTGCAACTTTCAGAAAGACCCAGCTCTTTCATGAATACCTATAACTTAATGATGATGGTCTTGATATTATTGATGATGGTAATGACGATGGTTTTTGTTTGATAACGACGACTTATAAGATGGTTTCTATACTGATTAGAGCTCTCAAGAACTGCCCTCAATGTTGTGCTTTGCCTCTGGTCACTTACTGTCAGCACCTGTGTGTCCAATCGGACTCAAAGCGGATCGTTTGCTCTTACTGACATTGTTCCCTTTTTTCTAGATCCTTGCTTGTGTTGTACTTACTCTCTGATGTACGTCGCTTTGGAGAAAAGCGTCTGCTAAGTGAATTGTAGAATTGTAGAATAAGTCATTCTTCACACTCTTCAAACATGTTTTGACGGTCTGATGCGTTCTCTTCTGAAGGCACGGGCTGCTATTTCTTTCAGCAAGGCTACATCTTTCCACATTCTTAGACCTAAATCACAATAATGTATGTTCCATGCATGCCCTCAAATAGGCTCCAATTAATCACCTGGTTTTGGTAACAGATGCAATATTTCATGACACTATTGGTGGGAGTGGTTGACGATTAGATTTAAGATTTTAGATTAAAGAAGTCTAATAAGGATGAAAAGGCATACATTTCATGGTTATTTAATACATTTAGTCAATGCATTAGTAAATTAACGTTTTTAATTATTGTCTATTCAACATTTTATATAGGCTATATATAATATGTCAAGCATTTAGTTAAGAGTGTATGTTAGCATTTTCTGATAAAACTGGTAAATCATTTGTGAATATACATGGTCTAAAGAAGCTATTTTTTTGTTCACAGAGTAAGAACAAATTGAAGTAAAAGCATAATTGATGAATCTCAGATTTGTGCAGCAAACGTTCTTACGAACGGATTAAGAACAGATTTGTGTGTACGCACTGTTTGTGAACGAGGCCCAATGTCTTTTATAACCCACATGTCTAAGAAACTTACTCTGTCATAGCTAAAGTTAGTTTTAAACTCCATAACATTTAGACAATGGAATCTCCTACACACCTGTCTTATGATGTGGATGTTTGAAGGTTTTTCTTTGATGTTGTGTTTTAGGCATTTCATTTAGCTTTTCGCTAGCTTTTGTTTGTTTGTTTTCTGCCAGGTGTTTAATGATCCCATCCATGGTAGCATAGAGTTACACCCACTCCTCATCAAGATCATTGACACACCTCAGTTCCAGAGACTTCGATTCATAAAGCAGCTTGGAGGTGTCTACTTTGTTTACCCTGGAGCGTCTCACAACCGCTTTGAACACTCGATCGGGTAAGTCAGCAAGTTTTCAGATTTCAGCCCACAGGTGACCTCAGTCCAAATAAGGAGAAGACTCATGGTTTTTACATAAGCACCTTGTAAAACCAATAAAGGCAGAAAACAGTGCCTGTCTTAGTATGGTATGAAAAAGTATATATTTTCATTTTGGTAGCAGCATCCTATTGTGATAACTGCGTTATAATTTAAACAAATGTTTTCTGTGGTCTAAAAAGGGTGGGATACTTAGCAGGAAAACTTGCTGAGGCTCTCAGGTCAAGGCAGCCGGAACTCAACATCACTGAAAGAGACGTCCTTTGTGTTCAGATTGCTGGCCTCTGTCATGACCTGGGTGAGTAATGCATCCCTTTTCAATATTACATATAATAGTTTATAAATTATGTTATTGGGTATGAAAAGAGTAAAATGAAAGTGAAATGATCCAGAAATAACCCTTCCATCTTTCAAAAAAGCAAGGGCTTCTGCATTAATAAATAAAAAATACAAGGGTGGGGTGAGGTGGTGGTAGCTCGGTCTGTAAAGGGACTCTGATAAGAACTGGAGGGTCTGAATCTTTAAAAATAATATTTAGACTCAGAAAACTTTAACCCAGAGGGCGTTTCGGTACCACAGTCCACCCAGACCATGCATACATTTACAAACACATAACAGTCTTTCTTGTAAGCAATATTCTCAAGTTTAGATTCAGGAGTAATCCATCCTCAACTCAAACAGGTTTATTAAGACATACTGACTGTATAATCTGTACACTATCAGTGGATTACGCCTGTATTTATCTATCCATTTCAAGGTCATGGACCCTTTTCCCATCTGTATGATGGACTGTTCCTCCCCAAAGCACTGGAAAAAAAGAGGAAATTAAAGAAATGGAAGGTAAGAAGTTTTTATTTCTGTTGTAATATGACAAATGAAATACAGAGGAACGGCAAAACTGAAGCACATGTACCTTTCACACTGGCTTGTTCTTTTGAAACAAAATCCAGGATGTTCTTTTTTGTTTGCCTTCTCAGGTAGAATGTGATTATGCACATTTCCAAGGATGTTGATCTATTTATTTAATAACAATGAACGGTGTAGTTTGTGTTGCTAAATGACCCTCATTATTCTCTTTGGTAATATTATGTCAACTTTTTATCTGACATGTTACCGCTTTTCAGAAGCTCTATGAGATTTTACTAAATGTTTATTTTTTAACCATTAATCCTGGTGATTCAGAGATTTAGATACAACAAACAAAGATAAAAATTGAATTCATGGTTCATGAGAGGTAATTCTTTATGACAGGGACCTCTTTTAAAAGCAGAAGGGATTTCTAGATCTGTTTATGTCTCTTTGTCACTCAATAAGAGAAGATAACCTTTATTCATCCTACAACGGGCAGCAAAGAGCAAGGATAGCCAAAAAAGAGCACACAGTGCACCATTCAATAACTTAGATCAAAAGAGTGCGATTGTTGTGTTTACACCCAAACAAACCGGGCTAAAGGGGAAACGCCCCTTTGTTTCAGAACAACTTTTCCAAACTATCCAGGTGTGAAAAAACGTTCGGTGAGAAAACTGAGCTGCATTATCACCTTCCCAAAAACTCTTATGCTTAACAGTTTGACATCGGGTTGAGTTCAGCTAGCTAAATAACCCTGATAAAGACTGTTAGGATGTTGTATACAGTATATTGGCTGACATTAAGTGGCTCATCAAATTCTGAAGCGCTTTAGGAACTCTGACATTGTAAGTTGTTTTACATACGTTTGAGATATACTCTTCAAATGTGGGGAAAATTAAAGTATGTGGGATTATTATATTTATGTATTAAATCTTGTGTTGACACATTTATGAGTCTGTGTGTCTCGCAGCATGAAAATGGCTCTTGTGACATGCTAGACCACCTGCTGAAAGAGAATAATCTTGAACCAGTGATGGAGAAGTATGGACTGAAACCTGAAGACGACATAATATTCATCAAGGAGATGATTGCTGGACCTCTACAGGAATCTAAAGAGCAGGAGGCAAGTTCACCTCATTATGTTATTCAGAAGTCGGATAAGACACTGTATGAATATAAGATAAGAGAAGATAAAACTTTATTCATCCTACAACGGGCAGCAAAGAGCAAAGATAGCCAAAAAAGAGCACACAGTGCACCATTCAAGAAAAAATAGATCAAAAAAGTTGAGCAGCTAAAAGAGTGTGATTGCTGTGTTCACATATTTACCAAACAAACCGGGCTATGGTTTCAGAACAACTTTTCCAAACTATCCAGGTGTGAAAAAATCCTTAGAGAGAAAACTGAGCTGCATGATCACCTTTCCAAAAACTCTTGTGCTTAACAGTTTGACTCTGGGTTGAGTTCAGCTAGCTAAATAACCCTGATAAAGACTGTTAGGATGTTGTATACAGTATATGTCCACAGAAGATTGGCTGACATTAAGTCACTCATCGAATTCTGAGGAACTCTGACATTTAAAGTGTTTCTTTCATACACACGTTTTGAGATCTTCTCTGCAAATGTTGGTTGTGCTATTTGTGTTGTTCCTTGTCTTCTTGCAATATTTTTCATGATTTGATGAAAGCGAAGCATGGATTGAACCCTTAACATGCGAAAAACATTAAGGTGATGATTGCTGAAGACCAGAAGGCAAGTTCTCATCTGTGCATAAATCAGTCTGTGTCCTACAGCAATGTCACTATTTTGTAACATCTCCTCAGTATAAAGGCGGACAAGAAGAGTGACAAAAAGTTTTTCTTCTGCCTAGAACTCAGATCTTAAAATTTAACCGTTGTTTTGTTTGTCATGCTTTTCCATGTACATAGTTTATTGTGTTCATATTTTAGCTTCATCTCTGTTTTGTGGAATGGTCCTACATATGTTTTCTATGCAGTGTAAATTTATTGACAACAACATACGTGTCAATAAAACTGGTCCTGATTCGCTTTGTGTCGTCATCCCTGCAGTGGGACTTCAAAGGGCGCCCAGAAGAAAAGTCCTTCCTCTACGAAATTGTGTCCAACAAAAGAAACGGCGTTGATGTGGACAAGTTTGACTACTTGGCCAGGTCAGGTTTTAATGAAGTGCTGTAAAATAATTCTTAACCCTGAACAATGCATTATTCTCCTGATTTATTTTAAGATGATACAGCACTCAACAGTAAATTCAGTTTCCCTCTATACACCTATTTTCTTCACATTGCCTTAATCTGTCTCTACGGTAATGGAAATATTTCCCCTGTGAGAATACGAACAAAGACTGAAACCCCAATCATCTTTGTGAGGTTTTATTCCTACAAGAAGCTGTAGGAAGAAGAAACTGTACAGAGTGTATCATGGTGACCACACTGCAGAGTAGCTCAAATGACATATAGAATGAAGTCTCCTTTTATACATGTCAAAGAGGAAACAACAATATTGACAAGCTCCTGTTGTAGGAGATAAGCAGTTTAACACAATCAACCTAAACAGAGGAAGAGCAAATGTCCATGTAGAGTCATCCTTGTAGAAATCAAAGGTTATCCAAACACATGATGCTTAATCTAAACCAGCATTTCATGAAATGTCACACAGTTCACATTAGAATTACTCTAACACATCTGCTAAATATATTTTTTCCCCATTACACTACTCAGGGACTCTTTATACCTGGGAATCAAGAACACCTTTGACTTTCATCGCTTCCTGCAGTTTGCCAGAGTGTGTGAGGTTGATGGAAGGAAAACTATCTGCACCAGAGACATAGTATGACAAACTTGAGCTTGTAAACAGATAATTGAAAGCAAACTGATAATGTTGTTATTTATGACTAAACTACAGTCCTAACCTCAACAGGAGGAGGACAATATGTACGACTTGTTCTACATAAGACACCGTCTCCACAAAAGAGCCTATCAGCACAGAGTAAACAAAGTCATTGAACATATGTAAGTGTCTACCTTCAGATCTTAGTACTCCAAATATAAGATTGGTCTCCTTCTGATTTCCATTATTTGATCTGCGTCATGATTCACTATCTCATCAGTAATAATATGTTTGATATGAACATACAGGATTGCAGAGGCTTTTTTGAAAGCAGACGGTCACATTGAGATTGAAGGATCAGGAGGGAGGATGTTCACTCTCTCTACAGCCAATGAGGACATGGAGGCCTACACAAAGCTCACAGGTGTGTAGATTTAAATGTGGGCTGTTAGCTCATGTTTAACATTGAAGCAAATTCAGACTTCAGAAATATCAAGACATTGTTTTAAATAATGCACTACACCCAACAATCTGAAAAGGAAATTGATGTAGGCACTTGGTCAGTTTTGGTGTTTGGTGTAAGACTACTGTTATGCTACTTTATCAATTTTTTTAATTATGCACATGTAAATGAACCAGATCATGTTAAATAAGTTGTAATGACTTATAAATTAATATGCCATGTCTTACAATTTATTGAGTGTGTTTGAATTAAATTCACTAATTTTTTTGTGTGTATAATTAATAATCGTTTGCTTGTTACTCTGTTACTCTTTTAGACAACGTGTTTGAGGAAATACTGAAGTCTTCCCGTCCTGAGTTACAAGAGGCAAGAGAGATTCTGCAAAACATTGTCTCTCGAAAGATCTACAAGTTTGTTGGTGAGAGAAAGCCATCAAGGATTGGAAAGTAAGTCTGTGTGTTCTTGTGTTTCATTACATTTATTACACATGATCTCATGCACCGTTATCATACAATTATATATCGTTGTCATACAATAAAACCCTCAGTGAACTAATGCTGCATGATATTGGGGAAACTGCGTTTTCTTTTCATGTTCATACTATTACAATTTTTATTATTATTTGGGTCTTCAAGTTTATTTTCTTTTACAAATAAGAACCCCTTATACATTCAAAGCTACATTTAATTTGCATCAAGAGCCCTGTGACATTAACTTCTAAGCAAAGAACAGTTCATCTTCATACACTGCATGTGATCCCTTCTCTCTCTCTCCCTCTACACTTTATGTGCTCATGGACTAACACACGTCCTGGGATATTACCATGGCACTTGTACACATAGCAAAATTAATGCTTAGATCATACCATGCAGCCCTACAGTCAAACGCATTTACACTAAGTTGGTGCAGTTTTTTGAGTGAATGTGAATTGAATTCCAAGTTGCTTACATTGTCAACTTAAAATGCAAAAAATCTTGAATCTATATCCTTTTCCACAATTTTTTTCTGATTCCTTGTCAAGAGCCAGATTACTGGCTGGAAAGAAATTGGCTCAACCCCTCCCTGACGAGGAAGAAAACAACCTGAAACCAGAGGACTTTGAAATCCTGGTGAGTTTTCTTTTACTTTCTTTCATCTCACCTTTTTTGTAAAATCTTCAGTTTTGCTGATTCTTTGATTTGTAAGATGTTGCAGAGTTTGTTATGGCACACATTTTACTCTCGACCTTCTTTTTAGGTCATTAACATGGACTACGGCATGAAAGACAAGAACCCTGTTGAACATATGCATTTCTACAGCAAAAAGGAGCCTGACGTGGCAAAGCCAATGTCCCCAGAAAATGTCAGAACTAATTATTGATTAAAACATTTTTTTTTCACAATCATTCAATATTTCTTCTGTCTGTTATTTGTAAGGCAGCTTATGTCACCATAACTCTCAAATTAAAGCTGCTGTCAATCTTTACAGGCATCCAGGATTAGAACAGAGATCTTTTCTGAGCAGCTGATCAGGGTCTTCTGTAAGAAGATTGATGAACAGAGTGTGGAGGCTGCCAGACAGCAGTTTGAACAGTGGTACAATGATTTTCTAATCCTTTGATAATAGTTGAATATTAAGATGTTAAAGGATACAATATCGACTAACTTGCTGTTGATTGAACATAAAACCAGTTGATTTGGCTAAAGTAAATAGAAAACAGTCCACATTGAGTACAGTTTATTTAATATGGTTGAACATGTGATCTACAATCTGCTGAGTGTGGAAAACATTAGCTGTGCTAGCATCCTCAGCCTTCGGTCTTCCTTTCAGGTTAACGTATGCTTACCTGTGCTGGTGAAGCTCTACTCTAATAGATTTGATACTTTAACTTAACAAAATACTGCCAAAGTGAGCAACACTCCAACATGTTATTGGTCCTTTGTCCTGGTTTGCATCCAGGTTAGACAGCAAGTCTAGACAGTCAGTCAGGTTTCTGTACTGAAACAATTTTACTGACCTGTATTGGAACCGTGCAGGACTCTGGTTTGGGGCCCTCAGGTTAAGAGAGGTAAGCAACAGCAGCATGGGAGTGAAACCAAAAGATTAACCAACCCTCTGGTTTCTTCAACTTTCACTCAGGAGCAAAAATCAGCTTTTAGATTTGAAAATTTGAAAGTAATAATGATTGACAATTATTGTGATAATTATATCGACTGATATGACATTTTGATAACATTTTTTTAGCCCAGGCCTATAAGCTACGGGTCTTATTGTGAATAACGTGTATCCTTCATTAAAAGAAAAACGGACATGTTAAAAAAAAAATCCCTCTTCATACAGTGTGTGCTGATTGAGACATGAGATAATCAGACCAATTTGTTTTTTGAATCGGGCTGTAAACATGTTTATTTCTGCTGTAAAAATTGGCTTTTCTGAATGGGTGTGTATGTGACATATTAATATATGCAGTTAGTGGTTTTATTACATTGAAAGGCTGTTTTAATATATGAGCATTAGAATGGAACAATGAGCAGGGAGGGAATGATTGCATAGTGAAACAAAACTTCAGGATTCTTTTTTTTTGCATATATATGATTTTGATCTTTTTTTGATGCTAAATTAGCATTGGTGTCTTCAAACTTTTGTATTTTCCTACCAACGGACAAAAACTTTGAAATAATGTATTTTATTACTTGAGATTTAAAAAAACTGAAAGTTCTCACCAGTGAGATGATGGATCTGCATGATGAGTGCATTGTTTTGCTTTAAAATAAGTTGAATGTTAGATCGTTTGTTAAATAGAATCATTTCTTCTTCAGTTTATCTCTCACTAGGTTTACTCTGCACTGCTTTCTTTAAACAGATGTACTTTTGTGTCTTTATTAACATGCAGGTTAGAGAAGAGCCAAATCTGCTTGGACCTGAGGGTAATTAAAAGACCATGGAAATGACTCAACAACATGAATAACACAGAATTATTTCTTATTCAGACTCAGGACTCTTTCTAGCTTTTATCATATACATGTTGTATTGTTGTTTTAAATTGTTGACTCCCTTCTGCATCTGCATAAGTTCCAACAACATACAACATGTTTTTATTGAGGACAAAGATAAATCATAACATATAATAATATAAACTGATACATAGACACACATGACACTGGATACTTACACAGCTAGCAGCTGTATGGCTGTTGAATACCATTTAGGTAAAGAAAGCCATTATTGAAATCCAACAATCATTGTCTCAAACTGAATATATAAACTGCATGTTTCTGAATTGATTCAGCTTTTGGTCACATTTATGCTTCTTTGTAGGTTGTGTATTCTTTTTGGTCGGGGAAAGATGTAAAGCACTCCCAACATGTGTAATGGAGTGAATATTTCACTTGTGGTTTTATTTAGGGATTTAGAATACTTTACATTACTATAACATTTTAGTTTTGATGTTAATCGTTTGAAGATTGAGGACATGAGATTAGATTATTTGTCTTTGAGTGGTGTTTAATGAGAGATGATCATGAGTGATGTTTTGGTGACTGGTATTATCTTATATTATATTACTTTGTATCTGCAGCATTTATTATCACAATACAATTTTAACCTGTTTTAAAATGAGTCTTATTTTGGGCATGTTTTATAATGTGCTCTTCTTTTGAGTTTATGATTCTTACTTTAAAAACTGGAACTTGTGAAAACCTTTATTTGCATCTAAAAACTTGAAATTCGAATTAAAAAATATCTTTTAAACGTATCCATCAACTACCTTTCTTCAATGGATGATGAATGTGTTTAAATGTATGACAGACTTTAAGTGAAGCTATAATTGTTTGACGATTGGTTCTTACATAATGCATCTATGAGAACCTTTCAAGTGTATTCCTGTTGTGATGGGTTCATATCTGATAAAATCTGCATGTATTCAAAATAAACATCAGAGAAAATCCTGAGTTCAACATTGTGTAATCTATCAAACCATATGCATCTATATATATATATGTATATATATACTGTATATATCACCTGTGGTACAAATCTAATTGCAGTTCAAAGTCCTTTACAAAGGAGCGGAAAAATGACTGACAAAAGGTAGTTTGTAAAATATAACAGCAATAAGAAATGAAATCAGCACAATGATTAATAAATATAAATACTAAAAACCTAAAATCAAACACTAAAATGTAAATTTAAAAGTAGAGATGAATAATATTGATTAAAATATAGTAAATTAAAAGCCTTAAAATGATTAAGTCATATAGAAAAGCCAGACTGAATAAATGAGTTTTTTAAATTGTTTTTAAAAATCTCAATATTCTCTGATCCTCTGAAGTCTGTTCCAAAGTCTCAGAGCAGCAAAACGCAGAATCACAAAAGGTTTTTGTTCTGCTCTGTGGAACAACTAAAAGAAGAACCATAGAAGAACAAGAAGACCTGAGGGGTCGTCCTGGTTCATAAACTAAAATCAACTCTGAAAAGTTAATCTGGTGGGAGGCCAAGTGCTTTAGACAATAATAAAATCAATATGAAGACAAAGAGGCAGCCAGTGTCAAGACTTTCAACGATAGATAAAATAGTTTAATGGGAGTTGTGTGTGTAATTGGCAAAGTCATTAACATTCATTCATTCAATCAAATTCATTTAATCTGTTCTTTAGATGTATGTTTACTGCCCTCACATGCTTCACAGGTTGAGTTAATGTCGACATTGCCTATTTAAACACATCATGTTAAGTTTATTTGTCGGACACAGTAATCATCAACTTACATCATTTGCTCATTTGCATCAACAGAAACAGTGTGTGGAGTTTGGATCACATGCTTTCTATCTGACTTAAGCAGAGTTCAGTTGAGATTATGGAATGTTATGAGAAAAAAAATAGGGTAATTAATGAATAAAAAACAAATAAAATGAAAAAAATGTAGCATCATTTATGGAGGTTCACATTGGTAACTCCTCATGCACAGAAAAAAATAGATGGCTAAATCTAGATCCAATGTGTTACACTGACCTGCTAAAGAGAACAACGGAAACCTTGATGTGAGTGGAAAATGGACTTTTCACCTTACTTCATTCTTATTTTGTTGATATATTATGCATTATTTCCAATACAACACATGTATTAATGATAGTTTAAAAAACAATTTTAAAAACTTACTTGAAATTATTCTGATTGGATTGACATTATTTATCAAGATCTGTAATATTTCCTATTTGTCATCAGCTAAAATCATTCACAACATCTACAAAGAGGATCAACTTTTGAAACAGCATCAGATCCTGTGTACAAACATGTGAACTCAGAGTTTGCGTTCCTTTGTCCTTACGTTAGGTTCATTTGCTTTATGTTGATTTGTGGGGTTTTTTTGACTACTGATTTGTGATTTTGTGAATATGGCAAAATAAGTAACATAAAAAAGTACCAGATATTACAATTTTAGTACATCATTGACTTCATCAAATCAATAGTTATACTAACATGAGCTGACATTTGTCATTTAAGTTTGATCTGTGTTGCTGCACAGAGAATCAGTTTGACTTTGACATCCTTCTTTCAGTTTAAAACAAAACTTAAGCCTCGGCAGAAATTAGATGATAAAAATGGATATTTATAAGCCCTATAAAGATACCTGACCTGGGAATAAAGTCATATCTTTGTGATGAAATTAAGAAAACCAACTCTTTATGGAAGTAAGATAACAAAGTGAGATATGTTAACATAGATATTATCTTCAAACAACTTTCTATGTCTGCAATCAGAAGTAATCTCACAAGAAAAAGTAGGAGATGACTCCTGGCATTGATAGACACACATCTGTAATGTGCTCATTCTGGATGTTACTGGAGGTCATATATTATAGTCTCATCTTTTATTTTTGGATAGAAGACAAATTCATTCCAAAAAACATCCACTAAATATAAAACTACTGCAGATGTTCACCTCCTTTACATGCTGGACCTTTTCGTCATCATAGAATAAAATAATATTTTACAGTCTGAGGGTTTCTTATGTTTCCTTTCAGTGTACAAAAAAAAAGATCAGTACCTGTTTAAACTTTCTCCAGCAGAGCATTCATTTCATCAAATGGTGAGAGCACACCAAACCATGGAGAGTTGAGCAACACTGCCATCTTGTGGCCATAATATTTACAGTCTATGGTGTAAATCTATCTACAGAGCAGTAACACATGCAACATTTTTCACACTACCTCTTGTTGCTCCTTAAAGGCTTCATATGCAATTTTTTGATCCAGAAGATGTCGCCCTTGATCACCAGCATGAAACCGAAACAACTTGTGCTGCATTGTTGTGTTAGCATGCTAATGCTAGCAATCTTTATCATGCTCGTATCTTCACACTGCATGTAAATTTACCTGAAATGACCGTGATCTAGAAACGCTTACGTGACATTCAATTAAGCAGTGAGTACAGAATGTTATTCTCTTTTCTCTAGTCCCTCAATTAAACAACTTTTATACGCGAGGGGATGAGCTGGCCGGCCGTCCCGGCGATGTAAAAAACTGAAGATAGGACTTGGAAAACTCGGAAAGCATCACAGACAGTGGGACTCCGGTGTTACACCCATTGTAGACAGTCATGACTCACAGAGTTATTTTCAGAGGATATACTTGATTTCTATTGCATTTAAGTGTGAAAAATTGCATATTAAGCCTTTAATAAGCTGGTTTACAACTACTGTTGGCTAACAAACACAGGTTTAGTCAATAAGAAGTGATGACACTCTGAACATGCATGTACTTTTTAATCTCTTTAGTTGGTTTCACATTTATTTTTGTGGGGATTGTAAAAAATCTGCTATTTTAAAAGTGTTTCATGCAGGATTATTTGATGTTTCATATAGTTTATAGTTCTTTTTTTCTTTGGTATTCTCAAGTCGAGTGATGGATTCAGGTTGGATTACAAACAAAATGTTCTTAAAATTTGTATAACATTTTTCCAACTTTTAAAAAAATGTCTCACTTGAATTGCTAAATCATACAGTGACTAACAGATGAAGTAGAAATGAAGTTATTATAAAAATAGAACGATTGTATGTGCATTAAATTATCTACAACATGAAATATTTAATAAAAGCAACTATGAGGAAATTCCAATTTCTGTCAGAAATTTAAAATTCAGATTGCATTCATGGATTTATATTTTAGGTGTGCACTAAGAAAAGTGTACTCCTATGCACTTGAATGTGTGTGCTAATGTGGGCTCCATGCATAGCTTGTATGCATGCATGCATATCTTTGTGTTTTGGTCTTAGTATTGTGAAGCCACGACTTAACTTTTATTTTCATCATTTTCTTTATTGCAACTGCTGGTTTCAGAGTGAAGGTTTCATCTGTT